CCTTCCCTCGTCTGGTTACTTGATTGACTTGTAAAATTCATCCAAATTGCCATCACTCCTGCCTTCCTCTGTACCTCCTCTGATATTGCATCCCCTGTGACTTTTTACTTCTTATGTATTGAGTTTGCATTTCTTAATGCAAGAGTTTGCATTTCTTAATGCAATCTCCTCAGGTTTCAGCCTACGTCTGTTCTTGTCTCTTCCTACACTTCCACCCCCTTCCCTCCTCTTGAACCGCAAAAAAAATTAACAACTCCCTTGGCATACTCCTACGCTTATTTTGTTGCTTCTTTCATGAGTACCTGAAGTGCCATCTCTTCTCCCAGTGAATTAAGTATCTTCATTTAAAGCTTTAAGTAAAAGAGCCTTTACGAAGAGCTTTCTAATGACCTGCCTGGGAAAGGGGAAAAAATAAGTACCACATCCTGTTAAAAAAAGGCAGTATTTTTTTTTTCTGTTCGTTCCCAAACAGTTGGTTAATGTTTTTTTGTCTGATTATTTGCCTGTATGCAATATTGGACTATAGGTGAAAGTTGGACGCAATAGGATTGGTACAGTAAATGGCATATTTGCCATATGAATTAACCCTTTGAAGTCCTTAGTTTTATATAGCATCAGGTGCATGGGTAGAGTGCAATACAGTTTAAAAGACAGCAATGGAAATTGATAATCTGTTATGGAACAGAAGCAAGTTTTGAGCAGTGAGCAGATGTGGAAAACTTAGGCGTGGTTTCTGTATTTTATTTTTGTGTATTTTGTAATCTTTACAAGATAAGAAGAATGAAAGAATTGGAAATTCACTTTTATGTTGCCTGGTGTCTTAAATACCACATAATGCTTACAATAAGTTTACCGAAATAGTCTAGTCTAGGATGAAAGGAGATGGGAGCCTGGTTTAAAAATCATTTATTTTTCATCTGAAATTTTGAGGCCTAAGATAATTATTGTACTTGTTAATTTGAAATAATTTAACTTGGTACCATGGTCATCTACATTACCATGTATTATGTTATGCATATTTTTGTAGTCACTTGCGCAGCAGCAGTAGATCAACAAACTCTTAGAAGCACTGTATTTTAAATCCACCCCCCTTTTCCTTCCTTGTGATGCAGCAGGAGTGATAATTATACATGATATGAGCAGAAGTTTACCCTTTCCCACAGTTAACCTTCTCCTGCTTCTCATCCTTTGTAGCCTGTTTTTTTTTTTTTTTCTTTCACGAGCCTCCTTAATCCCGAAACCATCCAGCCAACATCCTCACACCAATTCCTTATCCTTGGTTTGGCCTCTGACTGCGTGTAAGTTGTCTTTGTGCAAGCACCTTTATCAGTCCTGTATATAAAATACCTCAATTAGAATTGTATTGCCAATTATGTCATCCTCCAGTAGTTAAATGAAGAGTTGTGCGTTTGGAATGGGGGGAGGAAGTAACGATATTTCAGTTTTGTAACTTCATAAAGGTCATTCTTAGATACTGAGTCAACTTTGCTTTGTCTTTGCAATCTTTCTGTAGGTGTGCAAAATTACTGTAAAGTGCTGCTAGGTCTGATGGCTTGTTGATGTGTTGTGAAGGCGTGAATGACATCAATATGCATGGCAGTAGAGATTAGACCTCAATATTAGAAATTAGAAGTTCACTTTTCTTGGTTCATAAGGTATATTGAGCCAACTTACCTTCAAAAAATATTTTGTTTTTTGTTGGTTTTAAATCCCCTCCTCTTTTTTGGAGTATTATTATAGCTTGCCAATTCATGGTCCACAATTAACCAAGCTGAGAGAACTTGTTAAGGGCAAGCAAAATTTTTTAATCAGTCATTTTATTTCGTGCAAAATAAAATTCCTGTTACAGTGAGGAACTGCTAAACAGATGATATGGTAAGACAGGAAAATGTTTGTCCTCTTCAAGACTGTTGAAAAATAAGTCAATTTAAATGGTTTGATTTGAAATAGTTGATCCTCTTTATACTTTGCTAGTAAAAAAAACCCCAAACCCACTTTAATGCATCTTGCAGTACTTAGAATTTACTGCAACAGCAAGATCTAATTGACGTTGTGCTGTTTAGGTAATTATAGATGTAACGGGTACAATGTTGTACCTGTAAGAAACTAGTGAAAAGGCAGTAGCCAGATTCATCTTCATTAATCACCTAAGCAATCATCGTAACTAATGAGGCCCACAAATGTACTGTTGCAGCATTAATATAAATTCCAGAATTTAGTGTATAGTGGTCAATGATGACTCACTTTCTCATGTCTGTACTCTTTGGTTGGAACTAGACAAATGTTCCTGACCATTAATGACTTCCTATCATGTAAGTG